CGCACACACATTACACAGCACACACACAATGTGCCGACGAGAACTGATGTTTCCCACCACCTTCCGCCGCGCCACCGCCATCGGCCAAGCCGCTAGCCCCGTCTCCCGCCTCCCACAGCAACCAGCCCCGCCGCAGGACACCATCTCCGCCGCCCGCCGCTGGCCGACGAAATAACCCCTGTCAGTCGACTCTTCTTCTCCGATGACCTTCACAGTAGGACGTTTTCCTCTCACGACCACTACCACAACTCCGCCGTTGTCAAGAACCACCGCGCTTCATCTTTTCGGCCAGATCTGAACGAGAGACAGTGGCTCCCAAGGACAAACGGGCATGTCATCCGCCGCCCACATCCGCCGCTACGTCGACGTCGCGCCCCTGGCCGTGTGAGGTGGTTATGCGACGTCGTGCCGCTGTGTTCGACTTCGCCGGAAAATGAAGAGGTCGGACAAAATTCTAAGAGACAGTGGTTGCGGCATATTCGAGGGCGGCGGTGGATGGTGGTGCCGCCGTGGACGACGGCCGTCGGTCTGTTGGAGGTGTTTGTTCGCCGGCGGGGGCTGGGGAGGGGGAGGGGGATGATGTGGTTGTGAGATTGGACTTGTACTTGAAAATTTGATAGGGTAAAAGGACTTAATAGCAATTTTATAAACTTTTGTATATTACAATTGAGTTCAAGGGTCAAATCTGCAATTAACTGAAATTAGTATTTTAACATGTAATATTCTATTATTTTTAATCTGAAAAAATAATATTTAAAAAAATTGAAAAAAAACATTTGAAAAAAAATGTAAAAAATAATATTTTTTATATAGTTTTCCCATATTGATACATTCAAAAATATAGATGAAAAATAGTATTATTCTTTCATAAAAAAATATAAATAAAAAAATAATAATAAAATTGGTAATATTTTTTTCATATAATTCGGGATGTTAAGTTATTTTAGTTATTTAAAAAGACTAAATTCGACATTTAATCAACTAATATTATTTGATTAGCAAAATTAATGATTTTTTAATACGTGCATCGTGTCGTTTTATACGGTGCAACATGTTGTGTTATAAAGTGCATCGTATTGTTACATAAAGTACAACGTATTGAAATATAAAATGCAAAACTGAAATTTTGGTACGTTATCATGCTTGTGTTTTTTTTTTTTTTTTTTTTTTGTATAGTTGATGTGATGAATATTAAAGTATTATTTAGATCTTTTTTTCTAAATTGATATTGCATAATATTTTTTTTATGGGAAGTGTTGACATTAATTGTGTCCTGTGGTAATAATGTGCAATGTGTTGTTTTATAAAGTGAAACGTCCTGTTACCTAATTTGCAACGTGATGATATATAACGTGTTGACATTAATTGCATAATATATTTATAATTTTATTATTTTTATTTAATATTATATGTATGAAAAACAATATTTATTATTTTAATATTATGTTATAGCCCCTATTAAATATAGCAAACATTTATTAATATTATTATTTCTCTCACTTCAGCAAAAAATAAAATAAAATAAATATATATAAATTATAGATATTAAAAATATTAAATATGTTTTTATAATATAAATAATATTTTATTTAAGTTATTTTGGTTAATTTCGTTAACCAACCGAATGAACTAAATATATCGGTTCAATTGCAATTGGTTTGAGACAAAAGTTCAATCGTTTCAGTTTGCACAATAGTGATCGAAATTGTGCACAATATGGCTAGACGAATTGCACATTAATGACTGTAACAACTGCAACTGCAACTGAATTAAATTTTTTTGTTCAAATTTTTATATTTTTGTTTGATTATCTAATATTACTTGTAAATATTTTGATATTTCTGCGAAAAAAATATAAATTATTAATCAAACATATAAATATAACATAATATCGACGCTAACGAATTAAAGTATTGTGTTTATATTTACCAATTTTTTCAAAACATCAACGGCAATCGAGTACACGTTAAATATATTATTATTCGATAATATATTTTTCAACCCGTTTAATATACGTTTAATTAAAAAATTCGATCGTTCATTTTCTTTCAAAAGTTCGAATTCGACCGAACATATTATACATTATGCAATTCTTTTGAACTTTATTGTACAATTACACACACTATTTTGCACATTGTAATGAATATTGTGGTGCATTTATTAATTTTTTGTTAAATTACAAATTTTACCTATAACTTAAATTGCAATAAAATGATTTTTTTTTTTAAATTGCAACTAAATCCCTAGGAGTTTTATTAAATTACCAAAGTACCAATGTAGTAAATTGAAATATATTGAAAGCTACATAATTGCAATTAGATCCCTTGATCATATCAAATTCTCCAAATAAACCCCCAAATGAAAGCAAATCACCGACATAAAAGAATGCTCTTCTCCGATCGGCGACCCGTTTTCCATCAGCATCACCAGTTGAGACCTCCATGGCCGCGTGCGGACCCGGTCCGGCAAGACACCTCGCCGCCGGTATCGTGCTTCACCATATGCGGCCACTCACGACACATCGATGGCCGTGCGCGGACACGCCATCAACGTCACTCAGAAACTGTGCGTATGAATGTGTGTTGTGCGTGCGGCGGCGGACTGGTTGTTGTGTGCGTCGATACCGGCGGGATTGACGGATGGATCTGAATTTGTGTTCGTGGGTGTGTGTGGTCGGTGCCATGTGAATGGAGCTCGATGTGCCGACGGTGGCAGCGGAGACTGGATGCGTCGGCGGCGGACCGGCGGTGGCGGTTTGGTGGTGCTGTGGCCGGAATTGGTGGTGCTAAGCCCGGACTGTGTGTAATATGTGTGAGTGTGTGATATGTGCGTGGATCTGACTATGTGTGTATGTGTGAGAGAGCTTTGTTAATTCTCGCCGGCGGTAGCGGCGTTGGCCGGCGACGGTGCCGCTGTGCCGGTGAGATATGCTTTNTGTGTGTGTGTGAGTGTATGTGTGTGTGTATGCATGTGTGTGTGTGAGAGAGAGAGAGAAAGAGAAAGAGAGAGAGACGTGTTGGTGTGGTGTTTGTGCTGGTGGGGCCCACGCGTTTTGTTAGGTGGTTGTGTTGTGAAACAATGACAATACGAATTCAAGACGAGAAAATAAACAACACAAGATTTACGTGGTTCGCCAATGTGCCTACGTCCACGGCGGAGGAGTGATCTTCTTATTCCAGATTATCCAAATACATCAATACACTATGTATTTATATCATAACCCTACAAGGTATAAATTTACATAAATACCCCGTAATGCCTCCTTCCTTTGTCAATATATGAGTCATATTAACAGGTTGGATATGTATTAATTACTGATTGACCCTTAATGAGTGTGAAAAATTGACAGTTTTTTAACCGTTAGATGGTCGGATCTAATGGTTATGATGTACTCTTATTTCTTTCATTGAGAACCATTCTCACCGGAGCGCGACCATATATATATATATAAAACTATAATATACATATATAGGATGTGATGCAAATGAGAACCAAAATTTGTCGTGAGAACCGCTATTTTTAATTGTACGTATGCTATGATTCATTGTGTTTTGGTGCTATTCTTTTACCAGATGTATTTTACTAAAAATAGCGACAATTTATATTAACATTTGTGAAAATGATAGCACCGTGTAGTATTAAAAATAACATCATACACAACTAAAAATGGCACGATTCTCACACGAGGACTAATTTTTTATTTGAACTAGTCTCTGTAAAACATGTGTGTATTTGTGGGTCATGGTTTTAGTATAATAAAAAATTAGAGAGGATGAGATTGTATAACAAAACAAAATATCAGATATGCATCTTAATTACCTCGTAGCCACTGCTTGAATAGAATTGGGCAGCTACTGTTATGCTATTTTGGTAAAGACCGGTATGCGTTGTTGCAAATTCAAATAACTGTTTTGCATGGGTGAGAAGTTGAGAAGAGTAGTTAGGGTTGAGAGAGCGAAACGCAATAGCAGCGGAGGCAAAGGCTGCGGCAGTTTCAGCCCCAGGGTAATGCTCGTCATTTCTGTACACAGTCCGTGGTGTGGTCATGTCCTCTGACCTCTGCCAACACCCGTGGTCTGATAAGCCATACACCACATTTGCTTTATCAGGTAGTCCGTACCCCATTTTATGGCCCACAGTGCATTCTTAAGCTCACCCTCCGCCTCCAACTGCAACCCATATTCCATGAAAGCATTGTCACAGTGAAAGCCATTGGGAAACCAAATTTCACCTTGTCACCACCGTCGTAATAGCCTCCCACAAGATTCATCTGGATTTTTTTATATATAATCATACTTGATCCAAAAACACATTTACTTTGACCCAAAAGAAACTCACCCTATATCAATATTACAACCAGCCATGACTTAGTCTCAAACTTATAATTATATTAATAAACCATATTACTTAATCTTACATGTTTTTTTGAAAAACATTACTTAAATCTCAAAACACATTGTTCCCAACTGAGAAATGTCTCAACAATTAGGAGGTGATTGGATATGAATTCAACTAGTAAAAAACTGGTTTTTTTTAATTATAGTTAAGTTTGAAAAAAAGTAGTATGGTTAATTGTTAATGGATATATTAAAATAATATTTAAATTAAAATAGTTAAAGTTGATTTGATGTAAAAGTAGGAGAAAATGATTGGAAGTGATAGTTAGTTAAAATTATGTGAGTGAGTGAATAGTGAATTAAAGTTGATGTGATATGTAATAATGATTGATTGATATTATTTAATTATATTGATAATATTGAAGATAGTGTAGTTGAGTTAAAGTTGAGTTAAATTTGAGTTTTGAGTGGGATATTTACTGTACAAATTATATACAATCACGCCCTAAGGCTTGGCTTACCCAACTCAATTTAGACAAATCAAGAGTATTTTATAAAGTGCAGAGACAAATATTACCCCTACATTTTGACCAAGACCCGACACAATTTACACAACTAAATAGTATTAATTCATTTATAAAGTACAAAGACAATATTACCCCGACATTTTGCCCGTCGTTTAGGGCTGAATCTGCTCTCCATCTGATCCTTTGGCTATGGGGCAACTTCCCTGATCTTTGTGCTTCATAGAACAACAAAGATTTTGCTAGGGCATCTCCGTAGTTTATTGAAGCATTAACATTAATATTACTTGGTTAAAGAAGCAAACAAGAGACTAAAGCAAAGAGACAAAAATTAGACATATTTGCTACTTAGTAATGGATGTTTTTATTTTTTTACAATTGAACTCTAATTTATAGTTGCGGCTTATAACAACAAATGAGATGAAATATTATTGAAATTATTTCACAATTAATATTTTTTTCCTTCGGTCAACAAGTGCAATCTCCATGAAGGTTTTGTGCGCTTTGTTTTGATTGAGAAAAGATTAGTATGGGAGGAGAAATGTAGTTAAATGGTATAATGGGTTCTTATTAATTGTATAGTTCAGAAAGAAGACGGAGTAATAAATTGGTGAAACGAGTTTATTTAGGCGTCTATTCATTTCAACTAGTATTCGACATGTGCAAATGTACATATATATATAAAATATTGTGAGTTTTATATGTATATAATGATTAATGATTTTTCTTGCACTTTTTTGCAGGCCAAATTTACAATTAAAGGAGCTAGAATATTTATTTTTTTTAATTGTGTTTATCATATTGGCAGGGCCGTCTCCAGAAATTTGGAGGCCCCAGACAATTTTTATTTTTTTTTTCGAAAGTTCCCAATTTGAATTTGTGTGGTAAGCAGGGAAGAAAAAACAACTAATTCAACAAGACAAGCTAAATAAATAAATAATTGAAAAGAAATGATTTTTCTTGTTTTTTATCAATCTTGAAATATATCTTGGAAATGATAAATTATCTCTGGAGTTTACAGAGATATTTAATAAATTACAATGAAGCAGTCACAAGGACATTAAGATAAAAAATAAAAAATAATATCACTTAAACTAATTATTCTAATAAAAATTGTTCATACCAAACATCATAAGAAAACAAATGAAGGTTTCAAATTCACAAACGAATTACATATTTAACTATTAGCCTTTTTATTAATTAGCTTCTTCATTTGTGTAGTGGACCAAGTCCATATTTAGTCATTAGCCCTTAACTCTTTATTAATTAGCATCTTTATTTGTGTAATGAGCTAAGTCAATATTTAGTCATTAATCATTAATTAATTAGGCCACTTCATTTATTTAAATGGATCAAACCCAACACAAATGCAAAAAAAGATGGCCCCAAATAAATTGAGGCCCTAGGCAAGAGCCTCTCTGCCTCTCCACTAGAGCCGACACTGCATATTGGATGTAATATATATTTTGGTATGTATTTTTTTGTGAATTATTTATTATTTATTTAGGAATTTCAAATACGTTTTTTATTTTCCAAAAGAAGTTAATTCAAATGTAACCACAACAATGACATCTAATCACGTTAAATAGTCAACACATTATATGGTCAACTGTAAGTAAATCAAAAGTTTAAAATGATTTTTGTAATTTTGAAGTGATTAGTGTGTTGATTATCTAATAATTAAATGAGAGGCTAAATAAATAAAAAGTAATGGTTTTTGGAGGGAAAAAGTTATATTGCCACATAGATATAATTTAATAAGTTTTATTAAATGCTCATGAGCCAGCAATTATATATATATATATATAGATTTTTTAAGGATTTGCTGACACTTTATGAATATTGATGTACTAGTACAATACTCGTGTACTACACGGGTACTTAAATATATTAATATTTGTACAATAAAAATTAAAATAGTTTACATTTTTATTGTGAAATTATGTATGATGAATATGCAACAATAATAAATAACTAACAAAGTGATAATTAATTCAAATGGTGCCCGCATTTTTACTCTAAATTTGCCAAAATAAATCTTTTTAATTATATTTTTAAAATTACATATGTATAAAACCGATATTATTTATTTCATATATTTGATTCGTTTTTTTTTTAAATAACACAAATTTTATTAAATTTTGATTATATTCATATTTATAGATTCAGTGTCTCACATTTATTAATTTTTTAAGTATTTTAAATTCATATAATTAATAATATAGAATTTACGTAGAAATGTATTATTTTCTAACTTTATGAAATATAAAATTATTTTATTATATTAAATTATGATATTCTCATATATTTACTATTTTAAATAACATAATAACATTCAATTTTTTATTAAATATATTTAAATTGAAAAATAATATTTTATAATATTTCTTAAAATTTATTTTATGTAATTTTATCCAAAAGTTATGGAAAAACCAATAAAAAATTATTATTTTATGGTGTATTAATGAATTAAATTTTTATTATTTTTATAAAATAATTATATTGCTATAAGATGTTTTTAAATTGAGATGATTATAAATTTTATTTTATTTATAATTATAGATGAAATTACTTTATTTTATGTATGCAATATGGATGTCAAATCGAAAATCATTAAAATATGATTATTTTGGCAGATCATATATAAAAAATAAAATAAAAGTAAAAAAATTATAAAGTTTTAAAAATAAAAAGAACACATATCTATAATAATTAATATATGAATTAAATAAAAAAGGTAAGAGTAGTATATGACAACTTAAGAAAAAAGGAAAACTAAAATAGTTTATGGTAATTCTCAAGTCTAATAGTCAAAACAAAACCTGCACATGTGTCATACGAAGCACCAATTTATGCCAAATAAGCTTACGAAGCACACGGCCTGTCACTTAGGTTCAGCGCATTCGAGAATTATATATAGGGGCAATATTATTTGGACGTTTTAAAACTTAAAAATCATGAGGTATACATTTGAAGTTTCAAAAAGTCTTAACTAATCACGAGGTATTTAACTTATTTAACACTGAAAGTTATTAAGACTTTTAAGATTTTTTGTAATTTCATAAACAAAAAAATCCGACATAAGATTTCTAAGGATTCCTTTTAAATCTCAAAATATTAAGAAGTTTCAAATCTCAAAAGGTCTTAAAATATCTCTAAGTGTATTCATTTGAGATTTTGAATGACATTTTGAAAGTTTTTGAGCTTGAGACTTTTTAAGATTTTTCAGATTTAAGAGGAATACTGCTAAAACTTAAGATTTTTTATTTTGAAATTCTAACAAATCTTAAAAATTCTTAACAAATCATAGTTTCAAATAAGTTATACATCAAGATTATTTTAAGACTTTTTAAAATTTTAAATGAGTATCTCGAGACTTTTAAAGTCTAAGTTAAATATTGTATTCAATTGAGATTCTTAAAGACTTTAAAAAAATTTAAATTGGGTGACTTTGGTGGACTTTGTAAGACACTTTCATGACTTTGGTGGATATTTTAAGATTTTCATAGAATTCTTATTTGAGGCCTTTTAAGACTTTCGTAAAAACTTTTTGAAACTTATTAAGACTTTTATGTACTATTGTAGTTATAGCTATTATATTTGTATAAAATGTTCATGAACGTTTAAAACAACCAATATCAATAAAGTCAAGCTAGTTTTTCTGTAAAGAAAAATATTAAACCGAAATGAGTTATGATAGTAAACATTAGATATTCAACAAGTATAAAGAAAAAAAAGATTTTGTAGATTAATCATCTAAATAATTATGAATCAACCTTAGAATTGTTATTCGGACTGAATTATTCGCGAATAACTTGTTCTGGTATTTAGGTTTGTCGAACGAGCAAGTCGATCCAAGCTTTCACGAGCTTCACCGAGTCGAACTCGAGAATAGCCTTATATTCGTTTGTTAAACGAGCACAACTTCAAACATGTGTTACACATCTCTGCCACAATGATACTTATAATCAACTCAGTTAATATATATTTATCTAATTATTGGTTAATTTTATTTTTTGTATCATGTTGCAATATTAGAAAAATTTTATTAGGATAAACTTTTACAAGACTCAAACATTATTAACAGATGTAATTGTATCTTCTAAACTTATCAATAATATTCATAAGAATTCTATATAAACTAATAAACTCTTACCAAATAAAATAAATATTTAATAATTGAACATAGAAGTTTACAAATAAAAAAGAGAAAAAAAATAAATTACTGGCATGTGCAAAACTATACAGGCATTTAACTTTTGAAATGTCAAATCACAAGCAAGCAAATCTTAGAGAATAAAAGTATGCGCACAAAAAATAACCATAATAAAAAATAAAAAAAATAATAATATTGAATATTTTGATCAAAATTTAAAATTATACAAGCTATCAAAATAAATGAGTAAAAT